TTGATGATTTCTGAGCCAAATCTTGAGAATCATGATCAAGCATTGATCAAATGATGTTTGTGGCTTCAAAATGATATGTTGACCAAAAATTTGAACTTTTGACTGTCAAATGACCATTTTGCCCCTACAGTTGACTGTAGTGCAATTTAGGGTTTTGACTGTGCAATTTTGAGCTGAATGCCTTGAAACTTGATATGAGGATGTTTGACCACATTTGTAGGCATATGAGACTTGATTGGGCCTTTGAAAATTCATTTGCTTGACCAGAACTCAAACCCTAGTTTTGACTGTATGGGAAGCTGTTGAGCTGCACAACCCTTGGGGAATTTTGTGACCTTGACTTGACAAATCTTGGAGAATATGGGAGGGCAAATTTTGGGGTACAACAGTTGCCCCTGTTCAATCTTCTTAGACTTGAGGATGCAGATTGGCTGACGTGCCTTTCGTAATCCGAGGGTGGAAGATGATTGAACACTAAAGTGCCCAGAAATTTGCGCTCACATGATAACAGTGTGGTGGAATGGGCTTATAGATGCTATCTGGATGATTGCTGGATAGGATGATGGGCTTATAGATGCCATCGGGATGTTGATAGCGTAGGAGATTTCCTTAGCGAGAACCTGCATACCTGCAAAACAGACAAATGAGTACCTGACACGTCGCAGGAGCTGATTTTAGATGTTTGATATAGATATGTCCTGACTGGTTACAGGAGCTGGGTCTGGAGCTTCAAACGTTGATGAATGAACCAGGGATGGTTACTGCCTTAGCATGGATGGTAAGAGAATCCTGAATGATTTCAACCTCAACAACGCTCGTTGAGAAAATCTTGGTGAGAATTACCATCTTCGTAGTGTCAGGAAGAGAACCGAAGGACATTATAATCTCAAAGGGAGTCACCTCACTCACTGTTGGAGAGGGAACTATAGGAAATTATAATCTGAAAGGAAATATCACTTCACTCGCCGTTGGAGAGGGAAACATCTTGAAAGGGAATTACCACCTCACTCGCCGTTGGAGAGGGGACCATAAGAGAATATCACCTCACGCTCATGCCGGAGAGGGAAACATCTGAAGAAGGAATTACCACCTCACACGCCGTTGGAGAGGGGACCATAAGAGAATATCACCTCACGCTCATGCCGGAGAGGGAAACATCTGAAGAAGGAATTACCACCTCACACGCCGTTGGAGAGGGGACCATAAGAGAATATCACCTCACGCTCATGCCGGAGAGGGAAACATCTGAAGAAGGAATTACCACCTCACTCGCCGTTGGAGAGGGGACCATAAGAGAATATCACCTCACGCTCATGCCGGAGAGGGAAACATCTGAAGAAGGAATTACCACCTCACTCGCCGTTGGAGAGGGGACCATAAGAGAATATCACCTCACGCTCACGCCGGAGAGAGGAACATCTGAAGAAGGCATTACCACCTCACTCGCCGTTGGAGAGGGGACCATAAGAGAATATCACCTCACGCTCATGCCGGAGAGGGAAACATCTGAAGAAGGAATTACCACCTCACTCGCCGTTGGAGAGGGGACCATAAGAGAATATCACCTCACGCTCATGCCGGAGAGGGGAACATCTGAAGAAGGAATTACCACCTCACTCGCCGTTGGAGAGGGGACCATAAGAGAATATCACCTCACGCTCATGCCGGAGAGGGGAACATCTGAAGAAGGAATTACCACCTCACTCGCCGTTGGAGAGGGGACCATAAGAGAATATCACCTCACGCTCATGCCGGAGAGGGGAACATCTGAAGAAGGAATTACCACCTCACTCGCCGTTGGAGAGGGGACCATAAGAGAATATCACCTCACGCTCATGCCGGAGAGGAGAACATCTGAAAAAGGAATTACCACCTCACACGCCGTTGGAGAGGGGACCATAAGAGAATATCACCTCACGCTCATGCCGGAGAGGGGAACATCTGAAGAAGGAATTACCACCTCACACGCCGTTGGAGAGGGGACCATAAGAGAATATCACCTCACGCTCATGCCGGAGAGGGGAACATCTGAAGAAGGAATTACCACCTCACACGCCGTTGGAGAGGGGACCATAAGAGAATATCACCTCACGCTCATGCCGGAGAGGGGAACATCTGAAGAAGGAATTACCACCTCACACGCCGTTGGAGAGGGGACCATAAGAGAATATCACCTCACGCTCATGCCGGAGAGGAGAACATCTGAAGAAGGAATTACCACCTCACACGCCGTTGGAGAGGGGACCAAGAGAACTTCTACTGAGTCTTTATCAGAAAAATCTGTTTGGAGTCGATTTAACTGGACTGGAGAAGTCCTTGAAATATGTTTGAGAATTTCAACTGCATCTTTCCTGAAAGGTAAAGGTTAGTTATATGCAATGCATGATATGGATCAAGCAATGATGTTCTCAACATAAATGAGATTCGTATGATATGATGCAGTGCGTTATGCATGCTATGATGATGTATGTAAAGTTTTATGTATGTTTTTGTCTAGGAAAATAAATCCTTGACGGGTGCCGGGAAGTCATATCCTGGGCTGATGCTTGAGGAAGAGATTTTGCTTCCGCTGTGGATGATTGTTGCAAGAATACCGGCAGGAGAAGATAACTCCGTTGAGGAATAAACTTGGCAAATGAAATAATTTTGCGGGAGAAAAGATACTCTAGCGATCATGCTGGGGAGTGCTACTCTGTGGGGATAGCGATGCTTTGCTGAGCTGATGAAGATAACTCCGCTGGGGATACCGTTGATGAGTTATGCTGGGGATATCCTTGTTATGCTGGAAGTGTTGATGGACTTCGCTGGGGGTAGGAAGATACTTTGCCGAGGACGCTCTTTCCGTGGCTTTTGGCTGAGGATAACCCAGTTATATCCTGTTACGGAAATAACTCTTTAAATCAAGCCGGGACGACGCGTTCGTGCTCTGCGAGGGGTAAGCTTCCAGAATCTACTGGGGATAAGCTTGCTGCTTGGGGAGATATGAAGTCAAACTTTCCTGGGGAAACTGGATTGGACTCTTCTGGGGGAAGTTTGATATGTAGGGAAGTGATTCCTTTGAATAGTGGTATACCGCCGGGGAACAATCTTTAGACCAAGACTGCCGGGGATGCTTGTTAAGAATGCGTGCGGCTGGGGAGGTATTGAGATCTACAGGAGGGTACTCAATTTCCTTGATATTTGATGATTTGCTTGGAGAGACATGCATTGTTTTGCTGAATTACTCTCTGGGGAATTAAGATACCTGGTTGTGTTCTTCAGCTAAACCTACCTTGATACCTTGGAGGACAGAACAATTAGATCGCTTGGACAACTCTTTATTGCCCCTGTTTCTGAGGTATGAGAGGAAGACCTGTGAGGTGCTGATAGTTGTTGACAAACCTTCTTCTGGTAGGCCAGTGACAAGATACCGGGACATAGTCGTACGCTTTAATCCCTAACTTTTGCCTGGACCGCCCTTTCGGGTTTTCAGTCCACCGGGATACCCATTTTTGCCCAAGCCGCCTTTTCAGGTTTTCGACTTGCCGGGTGTACAGATTTTTTTTTATTTCATCCCTTCATTTTGCCCAAACCCTTTTGGTTCGCTTGGAAGCCCTTATTTTTGCCTAGGTGTGTCAACCTAGCGGGTCTTTGATTATGCGCAGTGTCTTTTCGACTATGTCCATGTTCTTAGAATGCAGGGAGGTGCCCCTGGCTGCTCTTAATGCCATATTACCAGAAGGTGTCCGATCGTGCAAGATTTGTTGCTGGAGTGCCCCAAGTGACTTAGGCGGAGATTTGCCCCAGGCTATTTAGCCTTTGAGAGATTCTCTGAATCTTGATTGGATTGCCCCAGATGGTAGACCATGATCATGTCATGCCCCTTGATTGGAGGTGCTTCTGTTCATTAGGCATTCGTCGTGCGAATTTTCCTGCTGTTCAAACAAAAAGTCATATGCAAACAAAGTTATGTTAAAAATGCAAAGCCTATGTCTGTCTTGAAGATTTTGAGAATGCATTCCTTTTCATAAAACAAGTAAATGTTTGTAAAACGTGATGTCAACTCCGTATTTTACTGTGAGCCTTAAGGAGTCAGGATACCTTTCGTAACAGTATGCTTTCGAACCAACCCATGCTTCAGCTAGGACTTTTAAGGGTTATAACGTGGCTCGGTTCACGGTTTAAGAAACAAAGGATAAAGGCTCAAATTTTATTTGTACCCACCCGCTCTTCGTGATGTTCTCCAAACCTAAACTCAGTTGATCGTACGTTAGACCTTGTTTGAGTCTTTGCTCTGATTTTCCGGTGATGATTCGGATGTTGATAACTCATTTTGAATAGGCAGTCATTCCTTTTTGTTGAGGGTTTGTAAGACCTCTTTCTTGTCTGATTTTTGTTATCCCTTTCTTTTTTTTGCCTGAACTGTTTCCTTTTTTGGAATTACAGTCAGCGGGATGTCCCAGTTTTGTAAGTCTCCTTTACGGGTTTTGACTTAATGGGTTTGTATTTTTGAGATATAATGACTGCCTTTCTTCATTGATTATTCGGAACCATCACTGTCTTTTGTTTATTTAAGGACCTCTTTGGTGCCATTCATTATGCACTTGGATCAACTGAGAGAACTACCCTGCCCCAGGTTATGATTAAGGGTTTTAAATTTCGAAAAGAAAAACTCCTACTTCTTTGGCTCAGAGGGGTTGACGAGGGATTATCTTCCTTATAACTCCAGTGTTTAGGGATTGAAACAATGCCTGTACCTCATCAGCGGGGTCTGTTCAAAAGCATACTGTAGATTGTGGTATCGTTTTCGTCATCCTCCCTCAAGAGGCTTAGAATTAAAGATCAAGAGTTGGCATCAGAAAAAAATATGAAAACAGTTTGCATATAGTGAATGCGAATATATTGATTCAAAACAGACATAAGCGATGCATTAATGAAATAACAATGTTTTAACATGAATAAATGTTTAAACAAAAGAAAATCACAACTTGAATTTGAATGAACAAAAAGTGCTTTCTATCCTAGCCATGTTTTGGCATGGGAGCAGTGATCACGTTGGGAGTCTCGGGTACTTCAAACTGAATCTCTCCAGCATCGATCATGCCTTGAATCTTGTACTTCAGCGCCCAACAATCCTCAGTATCGTGCCCCGGGCTACCAGAATGGTAAGCGCACCTTGCTTCTGGGTTGTAACTTGGAGAGGAGGTCTTTGGATTTGCAGGAGGGTTGATCACCGCAATCAGATTCATCCTTAACATGTGTTGCAAGGCTCGTGACCATGGCATGTTGATATTGGTGAATTGTCTCTTAGGCTCGTCCGGCCTGTTCTGATCAATCTGCTGTTTCTGGCGAGGTCGTTGTTGAACCTGTGAAGTAGTAGCAACTCGGAGAGGTCTATTCACTGGACTCGACCTTTGCCCTCTTGGGAGCTGTTCCATGACCTGGTCCCTGATTTGGGCTGGTTGCTTCACGCCTTGAGAAAGCTGACTGACCATGGCTCTCAGCTCTCCTTGTTCCTGAGCTAAACCTTGAATGAGGGCCCTTTGCCCCAGCATCTGGGTTTTCAATGTGTCTACCTCAGCTTGTAGACGTTTCAGCTGTTCGTCCTTGTCATCTTCAGGACTTTTTCTGATCAGATTCCCCATGAGGAGTGCCCTCAACTCTTCCTGCCCCTTGGATAGACCTAAGAAGATTTCCCTGAACTGAGACTCGTGAGCGTGAAGGTCCTGGTTATCTTGTTGTGAGGCCATTGCTGAAATAAACAGCGAGAAAGGTAAGTGACCTGTAAAAGGGATACCTGTAATGCAATGATGTGTATGATATGCATGCAATGTTTTCAAGGATCTCACAGGGTAAACAAGAAAGTTGTTAGTATCGGAGTTTATAGATTGATTGAAGGAAACCCGTGTTGTTGAGAATTCTTCTTCAAGGGTCAAAGGCTCACCATATCCAGTGGGTCATAGCCCCTGACAACCTTGGCTAGAGGAAAATAAATCCTCTTTGCCCCTTGCTGGGATAATTGTTCATCATGACCTGCATCACAAGCCCTTGAGATCCTTGAAATGGGTTAGGATGTATGCAATGGTATGATGTCATGCTATGCGTGGGGTAATGTAAGTAACCCTGTTATGAGTCCCAATTAAGGACTGCAAACCAAAACCTGCAAAAAATTCAGTAAACCTTGTTATGAGTCCCAATTAAGGACTATAAACAAAACCTGCAAGAAACTTAGTACACTCTATTATGAGTCCTAATTAAGGACCACAAACAAAACCTGCAAGAAATTCAGTAGACCCTGTTATGAGTCCTAATTAAGGACTATAAACAAAACCTGCAAGGAACTCAAGTGTCAGATAACAAGCATGCAAATCATCAAATTGGAAGGCACACAAGTCACACAAGAGAGCCCTTAGAGTTTAGGCCAGCATGGGGTCTGGGTATTACCCTCTTGAAGTTGGTGGGCTCAACCTGTCCTATTAGAAGTAACCGGGTTCTAAGGGTCCCAATGTCACTGGATTGCTTTCATTGTTCATCGTTTCGATTTAGCCACTGAACTGGCGACCGAAATATTCCAGGAAAGCAACCCTCAATTGAGTGTAGTATCGAGTATCAACCAACCTCGGACTGCACCAAAGTCAGTTATCTCACTACCCTAAAGAGGCCAAGATAGTTTAATTAAGGTTCCTAGGGTCTGTTGATGCTTCATGACACCACGCGGAGGCCCCGTACTCTCCTTGACTGAACTCAAGGGTTACCGGTACACACCAAAGTGCCACATCAACGTAGCAGACTGTTTCAACCATGTCGGTATACCCCGCACAGTTCCCTCACAGTCTTGTTGCTACTTTCTAAGAAGGTATCCCCCAGATCCGGGTTAGGATCTATAGAACTCCCAAGACAGTCCCACAATAATAAAGCAAGCAAGTCAATACAATTGAAAACACAGTTATGAGTTAACCCTAAGGTACACCTCACTTTATAAAGATGTCCCCAGCAGAGTCGCCAGTTCTGTGATCGGTGGATCTGGAACTGACTGTTTAACGCTGGTTCGCGAAATGTCGCGGAAGCAAGAGTCGCCACCGTCTTTTATTTTCTCCAAATGGAAAGGACAAAAGCACAGAAAAATTCCTTATAGAGATTGCTCTCGGTTCGGGAGGTAGGTTATAGAAAGGGAAGGTGTTAGCACCCTTTCTATCCATGGTTATCCATGGGCTCTTAGATACTTGCTCAATGTGTTTTCAAAAATGTTTTGTTTGCTTTTCAATGTGGGTTTAAAAAGTTCTTTTGAAAAATTTCAGATCGACTCGTACGTCAGAGTGTTTGAAAAGTTTGTTTCGAATGCTTTTGAAAATGTGTTGGTGTGAAAAGTCTTTTTGAGTTTGTTTTGAGATTAGAGCAAGTATCCTTGAGAACCTACCTACCCTAAGGAATTCGTCTGTGTAAATGTCCTTTGAAGTAGTGCCATCCCACCATTGAGAGGTAGGTAGCACCACCGTTGGAGGTATTCGGGTCAATTCGAGTTTTAGGGACATGGTGATCACCAGAGCAATGGGAAGACACCTTAGAAGCTACCCTCATGCCAGGTTCCCGGATCATGAGGACTTACTAAGACGTCCTCTACTCGACGACCACCTTTCGAAAGGCAACAGTGAGGCGTACCCTAGGGGTGGTGTGTGATTTGTGTGTCATGTTCAGTTATTTTGTCTTATTCATGTCAAGGTGATCTATGCGTTTGTTTTTATTTAGACATTCATTCTTGCATGCAATTATTAACAGTTATAAAGTTTGCGGGAAAATAAATCTAAGACTATTACAAATGGCGCGGGTCCACATCGCCAAAATTAAACCGGACCCGATTTGACGGAAAATAAAGAAAGCGAAGTAAAAGTGCGAGAAGTTAAATGTTACAACGCTTTGGGAGAATTACATAATTATAATAAACGACATAAAATAAATGCGCGAAATTAAATACATTATGAACATGGGCGTTGGACCCTTTTGCAAAATTAAACTAATAAGGAATTAAAATTAAAATTAAAAGAAAAAGTTTTTTGGTATTCTGTGTTTTTTAAGATTTAATAGAAAAAGAATTAATTAAAAAAAAACTAAAATAAAATGTTAAACCTAGTTCTAATTATTTTTAAGTTGTTAAGAGAAATATTGAAATTTTAAGTCTAAATGAAACCCTAATTAATTTACAATTTTAATTATGAAAATAAAATGAATAATATGATTATAAAAAGGAAAAATTAGAAAGGAATTAAAATCTAATTAAACTTAATTCTACATTTTTTTTATATTTTATTATGAAAAGAATTAATATTAAAACCCTAATTTAAACTAAATTTATTTACATGCAAATTTATTCAAGAAAATATTAAAATAAAAATTATTATATTTTTGCTCTTTTCTGACCTTTATGATATTTTTATATTTTGGTAAAAAATATTTATTTAATTAAAACAAATAAAAAAATAAAATAGCAATTAAAAATAAAATAAGAAAAGTATAGAGAAAGCAAACCAGGGGGTTCAGACCCCAAGCTAGGAGGCATCTTTAGAAATCTTAAGCCCATTGATCCATTGGCCCATGTGATTTTTTGGTTAGCATGTATGTGCGTTGACTGCAGCGCATCATAGACCATGATTCTGGGCCATTGGATTGATGTCATAAGCCATGTGGCCAGCTGGATATGAGGCTATAGGATAGGCCTTCAAACAAAGTACTACATGGAATCACGTTAGAAAAAAAATGTTGAAAAAATGTGGGGGACCTGGGATCGAACCCAGGTCCTGGAGATTGCCAATACATGCCTGGACCAGCTGTACCACACACACAATTCGTTTATTATATAATTAACAAATAATATGAAAGAAACATGGGTTAGTGGAAATTTTAACAGGCAGCCTCAAAACGTCGTTGACATCTGGAGGAAAATTGATGGAAGGATCAAATAAATCAATATTTGCTTAATCTGCGCGGACCAGTAACAGGACTGGGGAATACGCTTGTAGGAGCACTCCTAGCAGCAAATTGCAACTTCCCATTGGTAACACCTCCACACTCATTGTCATGAGAATGTTTTCTAGTATCTTTACAAGAGCTGTTGCTTGTCACCAAGCTTCTAACAGGAGGGATATTCACTCTTAAATCATTCTTTCCATTTTCAGTGACTGTAGCAAAAAAGGATCTACCTAAATTACTTGAAGACCTCGAAGTTCTCGCCGCTTCATGATCCACCGTTTTTATGGCGTGATGATCCGTCCGTCGAGTGAACGGCGACGGAAGCGGCAAGGGAACAGCGGAACACGAGCGATGATCTCCGCTAGACCTGAGAGGCGACGCCGGCAAAGAAAACGAAACACCTTTAAACGGTTCCCCGTCTAGATCGGTAGGGTAACGGAGCTTCTTCTGTCTCGTCAACCTCCTTTGCCGAATTGATTGTACACCCTTTCCTTTCCCTCGATTCGGAGAAGAAAGTTTGTTAGAACCAGAAGGAGTAGTCATTGGTGGAGCAAACCGCAGTTGATGGAACCGACGGCTGGATGGGGGATGTGCCGTTTGCATTAGCGCATGAAACGACGTCGTTGCCGGTTGGTTTGCTTAAATCTACAGAACCTAACCTTGTGTCCACTTTTTGTGATAGATGATGATGTTGTTGTTGAGTGGTTTCTTTGCTGTGCTAATGTGTGAAAAACATATACAATAGTTGGTTTGGATGAGTGGTAATTTTGTTTATAAATTATGGATAAAATAAGGAGGAAAATTTGATAGGCATGTGCAGAAAGTAGGTTGCAGTATATGAAGGGCAAGATAAGAGAATTGATGAATGGAGTATGTACGTGGTTGTAAGGTGTGGCCATTGTGATGTATATATTGCTTTTTTTTATTAGGTTTTTCATTATGCCTCTATGTATGAATGGATTAGGTTAAAGATTTGAGTCCAAAAGCCTTGTAACCATGAATCCAATATTTGATTTTAATGGCAAAATATTTTCTAATTTTTTCATGCAACCTTAGTTCAAATCATGACCAATTATCTTCAATTCTTTCTTAATCTGACTTGCACAAAATCTTGGAGATATTATATGCATAAAAAGATTTGAAATATTAGGTTTAACATTTTTCATGTATTTTAATTAATTTAAATGAATTATTAATAATAAAAATCCAAATAAATAAATAAAAATGAAGAAAAACTTCCCTTTGGGCCAAATGGTCGTGCACATGCTTGGAATGCTGAATTGTGGAAGAAAAATGGGCCCATTAGCAATTTTAGGTCATTTGCATCAATGTTGACTTTTCAAAATTCCCAAAAATTTCCCAACTTCCACAAGGCATAACTTGCTCAATTTTTAAGCTTTTCACATGTTCTTGGACATTTTGGAAAGGTCTTTGAGTCCTTTAACCAATGCCTTTGGTCCCATGTCATTTTGATTTACCAATCTCAAGTTATGGCCTTTGACTTAAAGTCCCTTTTTGTTGACTTTTGAAAATGACCTATAATGTTGAAATTGATAACTTTTTGTGAGAGCATTTCTTGGACTTGAAGTATGAAGATGAGTTGTATGAAATGTCTTTCTCTTCAAAATGAGCTTTGGATGGAATTTTTCTGATAATCCATGTGAAAGTTATGCCCTGGTCAATTTCAGTTGACTTTTTCAGCTGTTCAAATATAGTAACTTTTGCATCTTTGATGATTTCTGAGCCAAATCTTGAGAATCATGATCAAGCATTGATCAAATGATGTTTGTGGCTTCAAAATGATATGTTGACCAAAAATTTGAACTTTTGACTGTCAAATGACCATTTTGCCCCTACAGTTGACTGTAGTGCAATTTAGGGTTTTGACTGTGCAATTTTGAGCTGAATGCCTTGAAACTTGATATGAGGATGTTTGACCACATTTGTAGGCATATGAGACTTGATTGGGCCTTTGAAAATTCATTTGCTTGACCAGAACTCAAACCCTAGTTTTGACTGTATGGGAAGCTGTTGAGCTGCACAACCCTTGGGGAATTTTGTGACCTTGACTTGACAAATCTTGGAGAATATGGGAGGGCAAATTTTGGGGTACAACACCTGTCCTTATGATTTATTCAGAACCATTACTGTCTTTTGTTTTGTAAGGACCTCTTTGGTGCCATTCGTTATGCACTTGGATCAACTGAGAGACTACCCTACCCCAGGTTATGATTAAGGGTTTTAAATTTCGAAAAGAAAAACTCCTACTTCTTTGGCTCAGAGGGGTTGACGAGGGATTATCATCCTTATAACTCCAGTGTTTAGGGATTTGAAACAATGCCTGTACCTCATCAGCGGGGTCTGTTCAAAAGCATATTGTAAGAATCGTGGTATCGTTTTCGTCATCCTCCCTCAAGAGGCTTAGAATTAACGAGAGTTGACATCAGAAAAAATATGAAAACAATTTGCATATAGTGAATGCGAATATATTGATTCAAAATAGACATAAGCGATGCATTAATGGAATAACAATGTTTTAACATGAATAAATGTTTGAACGGTCAAAAGAAAAACACAACTTGAACATTCGAACGAACAAAAGTTTCCTAGTCTCGGAGCTTGTCACTTCAACTGGTGAGCCTTGGAGGAATGGTAGAAAAATTCAACCTGTCCATCTTGTGTGAACTCCAATGCCCCTTCATCGATCAGGTCCTGGATTTTGTTCCTCAGATCCCAACATTCATTGGTATCATGTCCTGGGCTAGCAGAGTGGTAGGCACACCTCTTATTGGGATCATAGGCAGGAGATGCTGTGTTGGGGTTCCGGGGATGAGCCCTTAATGTGATCAGATTCAACCTCAATAGGCGTTGCAAAGCTTGATACAGCGACATGTTGAGCGGGGTGAATTGCCTTCTGGGCTTGTCTGGCTGAAGCTGGTGAGGTTGATGCTGAATTTGTGGCACTGGAGCCATTTGAGGAGCTTTCCCCTTATCCTCTTGTCTCGAGGATGATTGGATGATGAACGGCTTTTTACCCTTAGATGTTTGCCCCAGTTGGTTACCCTGAAGCAGTTGGTTGACGAGAAACCCGAGCTCGTCTTGTCTTTGAGCCAACCCTTGAATGGCAGTCACCTGCCCCAGCATTTGGGCTTTCATTATATCCACTTCAGCTTGCAGATGTTTTAGCCGTTCGTCCTCAGCGCGATTCATGACCAAAGTCTCCGTGAGAAGTGTCCTTAGCTCCTCCTGCCCCTTGGATATATTCAGGAGGATTTCCCCGAACCGAGTCTCTTGAGCAAGAAAGTCCTGGTTATCTTGTTGGGAAGCCATGGCTGAAATAAACAGCGAGAAGGGTAAGTGACCTGCAAAGAACGGGTACCTGTAATGCAATGATATGTATGATATGCATGCAATGTTTTCAAGGACCTCGCGGGGTAAACAAGAAAATTGTTAGCATTTGAGTTTGGTAGCCTGATTGAAGGAACTTCATATTGTTGAGAGCCCTTCATCAAGGGTCAAAGGCTCACCATATCTAGTGGGTCTTAGCCCCTGATAACCTTAGCTAGGGGATCATTCTTCAAGAGTCAGAGCTCACCATATCAAGTGGGTCATAGCCTCTGACAACTTCGGCTAGAGGAAAATAAATCCTCTCTGCCCCTTGCTGGGATAGTTGATTCACCATGACCTGCATCACAAGCCTTTGAGATCCTTGAAATGGGTTAGGATGTATGCAATGGTATGATGTTATGGTATGCATGGGGTAATGTAAGTAACTCTGTTATGAGTCCCAATTAAGGACTGCAAACCAAAACCTACAAGCAACTCAAGCAAGACCTGTCCTGAGTCCCAATTAAGGACTATAAACAAAACCTGCAAGAAACTTAGTAAACCCTGTTATGAGTCCTAATTAAGGACTATAAACAAAACCTGCAAGAAACTTGATAAAACCTGTCATGAGTCCCAATTAAGGACTAAAACAAACCCTGCAAGGAACTTAGTAAGCCTCGTTATGAGTCCTAGTTAAGGACTATGAACACAACCTGCAGGAAATTCAGTAAACCCTGTTATGAGTCCTAGTTAAGGACTATAAACAAAACCTGCAAATAGTTCATGTGTCAGATAAAGCATGCAAGTAGTCAAGTACGAAGGCACACAAGTCACACAAGAGAAGCCCTTAGAGTTTAGGCCAGCATGAGGTCTAGGTATTACCCTCTTTCAGTTTGTTGGGTTCATACCTGTCCTATCAAAGTAACCGGGTTCTTAGAGGATCCCAATATCATTGACTACCCTCAATCGGTCATAACTCCAGCATCGCAATCTTTTCTTGCGGCCGGAACCATCACGAGAGTTTAGCCTCAATGGGCGTAGCATACTGCTACTGTTCTATTGGCCAAGTTGGGTCATTTAAGGTTCTAAGGTCTGTTGGTGCTTAATGACTCCTTGGAAGACCCATATTCTCCCCGTTTCAACACGAGGGATATCGGTACAGACCAAGGCGCCACACCAATGTAGCCACTGCTTCACCCATGTCGGTATACGCCGGACAGGTCCCTCACAGCTTATGCTACCTAAACAGGGTATCCCCAGATCCGGGTTAGGATCTATGTAACTCCCATGCAACCCACAAATTTAAAGCAGACAAGTCAATACAATTGAAAACACAGTTATGAACTAACCCTAAGGTACACCTCACTTTATAAGTTTATCCCCAGTAGAGTCGCCAGTTCTGTGATCGGTGGATCTGGAACTGACTGTTTAACGCTGGTTCGCGAAATGTCGCGGAAGCAAGAGTCGCCACTGTCTTTTATTTTCTCCAAATGGAAAGGACAAAAGCACAGAAAAATTCCTTAAAGAGATTGCTCTCAGTTCGGGAGGTAGATTATAGAAAGGGAAGGTGTTAGCACCCTTTCTATCCATGGTTATCCATGGGCTCTTAGATACTTGCTCATTTGTGTTTTCAAAAATGGTTTGTTTGCTTTTCAATGTGGGTTTAAAAAAGTTTCTTTGAAAGTTTCAGATCGACTCTTGTGTCAGAGTGTTTGAAAAATTGCTTTGAAAGCTTTTAAAAAGTGTCGGTGTGAAAAGATTTTTGTTTGTTTTTTGAAGAGAGCAAGTATCTACGAGAACCTACCTACCCTAAGGAATTCGTCTGTGTAAATTTCCTTTAAAGTAGTGCCATCCCACCATTGAGAGGTAGGTAGCACCACCGTTGGAGGTGTTCGGGTCAATTCGAGGTTCGGGACATGGTGATCACCGGAGCAATAGGAAGACACCTTAGAAGCTACCCTCATGCCAGGTTCCCGGATCATGAGGACTTACTAAGACATCCTCTACTCGACGATCACCTTTCGAGGCAAGGCAACAGTGAGGCGTACCCTAGGGGTGGTGTGTGACTTGTGTGTCGTTTTCATTTGTATTTGTCTTGTCATGTTAAAGTGATCTACGCTTGATTTTATTATGGCCATTCATTCTTGCATGCTTTGTTTTAACAGTTAATATTTGCGGGAGAAGTAAATTCTAAACTATTACAAATGGCGCGGGTC